ACGTACAAAAAATATTTCGATCGCTTTGATGGCTAGAATAATTTCATTTTAAAAAGTCGTATAAAATGAACGCGTAACTGATACAAAGCAACCTGGTAATTCAAACGTTAGTCGTACTCCATACTAATTGCCGTTTATTAGGGACAGAAAAAAATAAGTTGATATCCAAATGGTTTGAATCTGGTGTTCCTGCACTTCGTGATATGTTGTGTTGATTAAAGTAATTTTACACAAAATACCAGTAAGCTATCCTTTCATGTATCAGCTATTGATTCTCGGTGAAAATAATTGTAGACCTTATGACACATATCAAACCTAACAGTTTCAAATATCTTTATATTTACAAACGAACTATTGTTTTACAGTGTAATATTATAACATGCTACCTGGCGTCTTAAAGTTACACTGATCCTCCATTTTACAGTGTTTAAATATTGTTTAAATGTTCTCTTTCTGACACACGGCTTCTTGGACTTAACTTGTTGCTCTGCCTTGCGCAGCAGTTACGTTGTAAGATATAACATGATGATATGAATGTCATCAAATACATACATTCCTTATTCCCTCTGTCAACTTCCGTACGTAAATTATAACTCTTACATTTTAGATTCCTTTTATTTTTTTTACTTTGTAACAAGCCGCTGTCAGAAATATTTCTTCCAAAATTCCTCCTATGCACAGACACGTGAGAGCGGTGACTTCGTATGACACACATCGCCATTTCAGTAGGTCTAATATAACTAATAGCGTGAAGGCTATATGTTAGGGAAATGTTTAATTCAACAAACCCTAAAGTGAAGATGAGTGTCTACTGAGACGTTGCACCGGTAGAAGATTATATCAACGTTTCAGTGGTGCATGCTGCCTCCATCATCGCCCTGATGATGGAGGTCCCACAACCTCACACAGCCTAAGGTGTTCCTAGTGTAACAAGCTAGGCGTTGTGGTGTAATAGGCACGCTTTTACGTCGATTCCCGGCGGTGCCCGAATTTATAACTTGTGTTGGGCAAGGCCGTGGTCTAGGCAACACGGAGTTTTCCTCCGGGGGCTTCCCCGGTTTCTCCGGGGCATCCCAACAATTACTCCATTCACACACAGAAGAAGGCAATGGCAAACCACTTCTGGATCATCGGTCAAGAACGTATATGAACAGGTCCCAGGCCGAGAAAAGGAGGGAAGGATCCTGTTCATACGTACCTGTCGTCAGACAGAACACTAAAAAAAAACCCAATACATGGCAGAAGGACAGACTTAAATTCATATTATCCACGAACTATGTTAAGTGAAGAAACATCAAGCAGTCCTACATATGAGGCAGTATATTCTATGGAAAATGCTAAATCTGTATGTTATATTTTTGGAAAGTGTTCTTTGATTTAACAGTTTAAAAATCTGCTAAACTAACAAAAGAAGGAAAAAATTATCAAAGAGATGCTTTTAGTCTTTGTACCCTATGATAATTTACGCCTAAAATGAAATTCTCCAACCTAAATCCATAAGTTTTTGTATCAAAGTAATTGGTCCACGGCCTGTTCTGTCACATCCTCTAGCTTTGACATAACTTTAAAAGTAATATACTAAATCTGAGGCACAGTAAATAGAACAAAAGGCTTTGTTGAAAAGGACACTGCTTTTAAAAGCGTGAGGGCTCTTGTAATTCTGGGAAAGATAGAAGAAAAAATTACATTCCCGAAACAATTGGTTACATCTGTTCTGAGTTGGAAACTACCCTTCCTTCCTTCCTTCTATCCCCCATCCCCTGTGTAGCAACAGTGGTTATTCTACTCCTCTGCTTTCCACCAAACCTTTCACCGGTCCCTCAAACGGTTCACAACTGCACTTAGCGTAAAGCTATCTACCTTTATTTTGAACTGCTCTATACATCGGCTTCAAGTAAATTTCGTCAGACCACAGAAGAAAATGTCATTAAATTCCAGGAAAGAGGAGCAAAATTAAATAAAAGCTACGCAAAACCAAGTATGTTATCTCGGTGAGTATCCCGAATGCCCCCTGTTGGAAGAATCCCTTTTTAACTCTTGACGGACTATATATATATATATATATATATATATATATATATATATATATATATATATATATATATATATATATATATATATATATATATATATATATATATATATATATATATATATATATATATATATATATATATATATATATATATATATATATATATATATATATATATATATATATATATATAGTCCGTCAAGAGTTAAAAAGGGATTCTTCCAACAGGGGGCATTCGGGATACTCACCGAGATAACATACTTGGTTTTGCGTAGCTTTTATTTAATTTTGCTCCTCTTTCCTGGAATTTAATGACATTTTCTTCTGTGGTCTGACGAAATTTACTTGAAGCCGATGTATAGAGCAGTTCAAAATAAAGGTAGATAGCTTTACGCTAAGTGCAGTTGTGAACCGTTTGAGCTTTCCTACTGTGTGAAATATTCTACCACCGACTATTTACAGGAACACATTTACAAATTAACACTTTTCTGCAGATATGCTGTTGAAGAAAAATGTAAAATATGTGTGGATAATACTTTCAATTTCATATTTACATGAAGCTAAGGTATTTCTTTATTTACGATTAAATTTTTGACACTTATTTCCTACGTCATTTGCATTGTCGTCTTTACATTTTCTCATTTTAAACTCACACGCGCTGATATAAATAATGGAAGCGGCATGTTCAGTTTAAGATAGTATTCAGTCACGAAAACACTTTTCACATTTTTGTCACCGTTTGGAATGCACTGGAAGCTGTATTAATCTCATGACGTTTCCCAGCAGTCGACAGTCAACGCAGAAATCCGATTGCGGTAGACTGTGTTATGAACTGATTATTCAGCAGTCTGGGTAAATGCAGTGCGATCAGCTGCAGACGTAGAACAGAATAGCACACGCTGAGACCCAAACCACGTTCCACTGATTTTTGTCTCTGTTAGGAGATGGGGATGGTTTTGAAGCTGAGCTGTATGCACCGGGGGGCTGTTTGGCGGGATGCGGTCCCATCGAGGGCAGAGTGTAATCTATATCATAATCTGGAATGGAAAGATGTTATTAGAATTGGTGAGATTTCAGGTTATCGAAACGTCGAGTATAAAGGTGACTGTCTTCTGGGTTGTTAACGCCGTGTAGTGTGGTAGAGGTAATTGCCACCTCCTTCATCAGGGCGAAGATATCGCACGGCGCAACAGCCCAGACGACATAATTTCCACCTCCTTCATCAGGGCGAAGAGATCGCACGGCGCAACAGCCCAGACGACAGCCATCTCCGTCAATATTTAGTTGTAAAAATTACTTTATTAACTCATTTTATCTGAATCCCTCCATTCCTCGAGATCAATGTCGCTTTGAACTTGGTTCTCTGATGAGCGGTCTTTCCAGCTTTTTCCCTTGCCTCGCGCTGTAAATTAAAGGAACGCCACAAGACATTCTCATATCAGCATTAATTATGAATATGTAGTGTCTGTATGACCGAAATATTTATGAATAGGAGCTTGAATCTACAATTTTTCGATACGTTTTCTCTGCATGGGCGTGACGAATTGGCATTACGGTTACATTCATTATTGATCCCGGCACACGGATTTTGAATATCGCCTAAAATTTAGAATTAAATGGTGCAGATACCTGTCAACAAAACGTAAATAGGGCAGGCTGACTATATATACTTCCTAAAGG